GTAACAAGGCAAGTGGCTTGGGCCTTTTTAACATATGCTGAAAAATTTGCAGTTGGAAGGGCGACATCAGATCAACTCTGGCCTTTGTCATATTGGCGCCCCGTCATTGGTCCAAGGCCGGCCCGAGATCACCGCCAGCTACTGACCCCGCCTTTTCTAACTGAATCAGTCCCGGGTACTTAAAAAGCAGGTAGTGATTTGTCATGAGGTTTATATACAGTAGCATGACTTTAGCTGTGCTGCTCTGCACTTTCAGCCATTACTTGTACTGTGACTGTAACAGAAGATGAGGCTGCATTGATTTAACATTATGATCCATGTGTGTAGTGAAATTTAAGATTCCTTCAAAGCAAATGCACATTGATGAATTCTACAACAAATATGTAATCAATTAAATCAATCATACCCATCATATATGCTATTTTGAGTAAAAGTCCAAAAGTGTTTCCATTGATAAATTCAGCCCCAGTTTGAATGTAAACAGCAGCAGATTCTGGATGCATCTGAGGTTTACATGGTTACTTTAAAGGACTCAACATCCAATCTTGCAGGATTTGGTTTCTCTGGGTGTTTACCTGAAATCTTCTATATTTTTATTGGATCACTCAGAAAACAGTCAGCCAATCAGAAGAGAGGCCTCCTACTACATTGAGATGGTTTTTGTTTCTTAAAACCACAAATATATCTTCTTATGGATCAACACTTCAAATAAAACACAGTATATAATATATACAATATGGGACCTTTAAAAAACAAAGACACCAGTCTAGTGTTTTGCATGAATATTATAATATATTAGAGGTTTATTAAATCCAGATTCATTAAAATCATTTTCGGTCCTTTCAACTCTGCATGAGTGAGTGAGATCTTTATGGAAAGCTATTCCTGTGAAGTGCATTTATAAATTCCTTAATTTTGCTTCCTTCATCTGAAGTTAAGGCTTCAACTTTTTACCGTAGCTCATTCTGCCACTCCACTTGATGTCATCACTGTGAGATTTTAGTGTATCTGCTCACTGAAAATATAATTCACTTTAATGCCTGGCAACCTCCCTGTCGTAATGTAGCATGTAGATTTTTGTGATTTTCCAAGCAGTTAGTTAGACACGCCGTAATAAAACCTGGAATTGAGGTGTGATTCAAACAACACACACACACACACACACACACACACACACACACACACAGCTGCAAACATAATCACATATGAATATATAAAATACATAAAAACACAATCTTATAACTGCTGTTTTGTTCTTAATGTAAATGACTCCAGCTAACATCCACAACAAGTCCTACACCAACAGATAACATGTGCGTATGTGTGTATGCAGCCTTGAGGTGTGGTTCTTTATGCATGTGTGTATCAGTGGATGTTGTTTGTTTATTTTATGGGGGGGGCGCTGGCTGTCAGGAAGAGGCCCCGCCATGATTCAAGGGTTATTACAGCATCGCTGTAGCATGCACAGGCCGTAGCTCATTACCAGATTGCATTCATATACGTCACACCAACACCAACATGCACATACACATGTCCTCATGCTCACTTATATGCATGCGCACACGTGCAGTGCACTTACTGGCACACGCACACGCACAAAGAGGAATGAATATATGGATGTTAAGGATTCTCTGATGTGAAGAAAGAAGAGGAAAGGTGGGGGAAAATTGATCCTTCGCTCAGAATATATCGCCAATGGACTGCGAGTTGGCCGTGTGGCATATTAATGCTGTTGTCTGACGAGTTGGAGTAGAGGCAGAAACAGCAGAGGGTAGAGAATTTCCATCACCCCTCAGAGAGAGAGAGAGAGAGAGAGAGAGAAACAGATGGATGGAGGGGAGAGAGAGGGAGAGAGTGTTTCGGTCTCTGAACACTTGCAGCGGAGCAGGTTGTGCTTTTCTCTGCTGCTGCAGACAGTAGGTGTAGTCATCCATATCAGGGGCCCCTCCGAGGTCTGAAGGTGCTTGGGAGGTGATACAGTGTGTTTGGAGTTTAACAGGGCTCCTTTCAAGGCATTCATCTGTATCTGTTAGAGTTTACAGCCCACAGGTTTTGCACTACACTCCTATGTGTGCATGGCGGTGTCTGGTACGGTGGCCCTGAAGGCTCAACGCACTGCAGCTTAAGAAAACACATGCAAACAGACAAAACACAAACACATTTAGAAAACATCTTCATCAGTTTGACAACACATAACACTGCAAGCACTCACAGCACAAGTGTTTCCAGGGGACACTAAAAAGTTATGAAGGTGGCTGGGACGCACTCGTACATCCATGCACTTGTTGTTCAATGCTTTTAACGTCAACAAGAGCAGGTTCATCACCTTTTAGTGTCCCCTGGAAACACTTCCGTTGTCGTCCCTGCTGCTTCCAGCTTTTCAGTATGTGGTTTTGTTGTGAGGATTTGCAGCACATGTCAAATTGATGAAGATTTGTTTGTCTTTTGTCTATTTGCACATGTTTTCTTAAGTTGTGTTGTGCGCTCAGGGCCACCGTAGTCTGGACTATATGGACATTTATATTTTGAAATTTTGAGTTTTACTCAAAAGAAACAAACTCTGAAGACTTCTGATGTCGTCATCCATCACAGTAATAGATCACACACCTTCACTGTGAACAGGAACGGTTACATTTTGCATAGTTTCAGCAGAATACTAATAATCAGGATATTTCATTCCGATAAAAGTTCATGTCTCCACGCTGAAGACCATGAGGCTTTCCGTTCTCTGCATTTTTACTAATAATATCAAACATTCTCTGCAGGCTATTGTAGGAAATAATACCTCCTTTTGGATGAACCTGTGCAGTGGTGTTTGCACTAAATGGCAAGTCAATCAAGAATCAATGGGTGACAATTTTGTGAATTCTGGAGGGTGAGCTCTAAAGATCCCCGGAACCTTACTGCCTCTATATTAACTGCTTGAAATGAAATAAAAGTTGATGTAAATTAAATTAGATTAAATTAAAAATCAGTGTCGCTCCACCAGAATGATTTTTCCTGCAGTGTATGCAGAAGGTTTTAAAGCATCATTTAGATCTTTATGTTGGGAAGTAAAAATCAAAGGTAATGTAATGGAACAGTTAACTGAATAAATGAATTACCCCATACGCAAATGCAATTACATATATATTGAATTTCTATATATGAAATATATTTACATATAAAATAAAAATATATGTAAAAATCAAATATGAAACCTATTAGAAATTGGAACAATTTCATATATTGACATATACGTCCAGCCCATACAAATATGTATTCTTATGTATGTATTATTATCAATATATATCCATCCCACAACCTGTCAATATCTGTTGATATTTTAAACTGTAGGGTCTAAAAGTCTGAGAGCACTTTCCCAGAAAGGGAAGACAGACATGTACTTATGGCCCCACTGTAATGATATTTAGAATCACGGATGTGTGTTATTTACTTCAAATCAGAGTAAAGACGTGTCGGCCCAGAATCCAGAAAACTCATTTTTGGCCTTGCTCCCCCACTGGCTGAAGGTTAAACAGAGACCTTCACCTAAATCAGTTCACATCACATCACCATGCCACCCCGTGCGGGTAAGGGTGACCCCCACGTGTGTGTTTATGTGTGTGTGTGTGTGTGTGTGTGTGTGTGTGTGTGTGTGTGTGTGTGTGTGTGTGTGTGTGTGTGTGTGTGTGTGTGTGGATGATGAAGGATGGCCATAGGCTGATTCTACCACTACAAACAATACAGGCCATCTGCTTTGTGTCCCTGCTGCCAAACACTGAGCCAAACCTCTACACAGGCCTCTGCGCCTCTGCTGCTCTCTCTGCCAGCTCCACTCGCAGTTTCATCTCAGGAACATTCCCTCCATCCTTTTTTTTTACCTTTAGCTAAATCCTGTCAAGTTGTCAGGTTCTTGTCAGATGTTTTTAAGTTTTAAGTTAAAGGTGTGATTGATCTTTTTTCAGCTCCTGTCTGAATCAGCAGAGAATAGGAAATGTTTTTATGAAATGTTATGTAATTTCAATCTGTCACTTTTTTTTATATATTTTTCATTGTGTGAAAATGATACAGACACAATTTAATCATAATATCTCAAAACAACCTGTCTCCTAAAAATGATACTTCTACACAACTAAACTGCAACAGCAAATATGTTTTGTAAGAAATCTAATTACATCTTCTGTTATTTGATGTGGAAAAGTTATAATGTTTAACTTTTCCACATTAAAATGTCTAAAATCAACTAGACCTATGTTATATATTTTGTTGAGTTGTGTACTTATATTATCCCATGGTTGCAGTTTAGTTGCATGAAAACATAATTTCTCAAAAAGGCTTTGCTTCCACCAACATTTGGAAATCTGCTCCGGTCTTGTTTCCTGTAATCAATCTGATCTAATGAATCTACAAGTTAATATTGAGAGAGTAAGTCATGTTCGATTTTCATGTGACTGCACATTAAATGCCATGGTGGACATGTAAATATACATCATGTGCATCATGTGCAGCAGTCTCTGGATCAGTCTGGACATCCAGTCTGGTGAAATAAATCTGTTTCCTGACATTTCCAGGTTGATTTTACTCAGAGAATGCTAACAGACCTAAAACCATGGGTTAGCTGTGTTATCCACCTGAAAATAGTCCCTAACAAACACACCATTTCCTCCTGTTCTTGAAATCTAGTATCCATCAGTTTTATGAAATTACTGAGCCCCTTTTTGAAAGAAGTAAACTATATATCTGTGAGTCATTTTTATAGCATAGCTTTGTCATTAGGCGCCAGCTGAGACACACACAGGGCAGATGGACCAACACGTTGTTGGGTTTTCTCGACAGTAAGAAAACTAGAGCACAGCAGCAGCCATGTGCTTTAAATGTTCAGGGGATTTTCTGCAAATGAAAATATGAAACTTAGTGTTGTAACATATTGTGCTCCTTCCCACCTCTGCATCTGTGTGTGTGTGTGTGTGTGTGTGTGTGTGTGTGTGTGTGTGTGTGTGTGTGTGTGTGTCTGTCAGTTACAGGCTTTCCATACCCCAGCACAGGAGCAGCCATGGCCTACAGAGGGGCCCATTTGAGAGGGAGGGGTCGGGCCGTCTACAACACGTTCCGCGCCGCACCTCCTCCTCCACCCATCCCTGCCTACGGAGCGTGAGTGGCTGCGAGCACGCACAAACACATGCACACTTCCAGCCGACACAAACACACGATAATCAAATAAACACTGTATGACAGGTCTCTAAGACTGAAAACACGCGACTGCACAAATCTAATTCACAGTATTATTCAGACACAGGGGATAACACACACACAAAAACACACACTCACACACAAATATATACATACTCACACACACACACACACACACACACACACACACACACATATACACACACGCAGTTATAGAAGAATAGTGAGTGGAAAACAAAACCGCCGCCTTCTAATAGAGCGGAAAATTGCTCTTTGATTCCAGAATGGCCAAATTTGTCTCTCTTTTTTCTAATGTGTCATTCTTTATTTGGCGGTGAATAGACTGCTATGACCTGCCCTGCACACTCCAATGGGCCCGCTTCAGAGAGCGAGAGACCTCGTGGACGTGAAGGGGGGAGACATGGAGAGTGAGAGAGAGAATAGATGACTGAGAGAGTGTTGTAGGGGTTGAAAGAAAGAAATGCAGATGGAGACAGAGAGAGTAAAGGCAGGAGGCTGAGAGAAGAATAATGTATGTGGTACAGTTGGTCATCAGTCACTGACTGTATGGTGGGAATGTAAATTAATTTTCTTTAATTTAGCTTTTAACAATTAGTTTATAGTTTAAAACTTTAAAAACAAAATCAACTTGTAATATTTTATTTTGAAAAACAGAAAAAAAAACATCAAAGAAAATGTGCTGCTGGCTGCATTTATGAAACAAACTCATGGAAATCAGAGCCTCTCTGCTTGGACATCTCAGACTGGGTATTGGAGGACTTGAGGGAGTTCAGGGGGGCTTTAGTGGTGCCACAGCCTTGGAAGAATCAGCTGTAAAAATTGACAAAACCTAGGAAACGCTGGAGCTGTTTACAGGAGTCAGGAGGGGGCCGGTCGGTCACAGCTCTCACCATCTGAATGTTGCCACACACCCCAGAAAGGACACAGTGGAAATAACATTTATCTACATTCATTAAAGAGTTCATTTCCCAGAAGCTTCTGGAGAAACAGTCCAGACATGCAGAACGTGTCACTGTGTGGTTATGTAGAAAATCAGGATGTCGTCTACATAGATGAAGACATATTTGTTGCCCACTGTTGTTTAATGTCTAATGTTTGATGTCCTCTGTCAACAGTGTGGTCTACCAGGATGGTTTTTATGGTGCAGAAATATATGTGAGTCAAACTCTATTTATATGAATTTTCATTTATTGTCAATAATGTGGTGCTGGGTGTCTTGAGCATGTGATCCAGCGCTTCCCTCAAAGTCAGCTGTGTTTGCAGCTAATTGTTGGTGACCATCTTGTGTTCCTAACTGGAGGTGGTATTGAACTCCCCTGTCTCTTCTCAGGGAGGGTACGCAGCTTACAGATATGCCCAGCCAGCTGGTACCGCTGCAGCTGCGTACAGCGACAGGTATGTTGGCTTCCATGTTCTGTGAAGGTGTCGTCGTAAAAAATTTCATTTGCATGCACGTTCATCAAAAAGACGTCGTGTGTGTTTCCCTTACCTGCCTTCGAACCGAAGGCGTACACAGACGTTTTTGCTTTTTGGTGGCTCCTTTGCTTCTCAAGTCACCGAACAACTTTGACATATTGCATCAACAAAAATTGATATTGGTAGAATTTTCCCCGGAAAAAAATGCAAAATATGTTCTGCATATAAACGTGCTTTAGTTAATGCTTCCGACAGCCCTGCAAGCATAATGTCACTTTACAACCATTTCGAAATTAGCAACACAAAAATATTAGAATTTTTAATTGTATTCAGCTGAATGCTTTACATATTTCAAACTCCAGTTCATACATTGATTTAAAAGAAAAAGAAAAACAAGCAGCTGAAATGCAGCAGGGACAGGAAGGACAACTCTACTCTATGAATAAGTGGGACAAATAAGTGCCTTTTTAATGGTGGCATTGATGGCATATAGTTGGCATTTTAGTCTAGAGTGAGTATGGAAAATGTAAAATTTATTATATTCTATAGTGATTTTGGTCGAGACAGGAGAAGTGAAGAAAGTCCTATATTGCTAAACTGAGTACTTTTGTCCATGTCGGGATCCTGTAGGAAGATTTTACCAGGGATCTAATTCTGATTCCCTGAAGTTAGCCTGCTCTGGAGAAGCTTAGCCATGCAATGTAGGTTACCATGGTGATCTACCCTGGTTAACAGAGCCAGAAAATCTTGAGTTAAGTCCACACATAAATGGTTAGGCCCCTAATCTTGCTTTGTGACAAAAGGAGTGCAGCACAGGGAGGAGAGAGCAGTGTGGTCCACTCCATCTTTCACTCGTCATTCCTCTTGGAGCTCCCTGTCTCCAACCTCTAATCCATGAACCTCTGGGGCCTTGAGCCCTACCCTACCATCCCTGCCCTTACCCCTGCCCTTGCCCCCTGCTCCTGCCCTGGCCCTGGACCCCGCTCTGCCCAGCACCGCTGCTCCTCTCTCGGTGCAGCTGTCCCCAGCTCTCTGGGAGCCTGCAGTGTGCCAGTGATTCCTCCAGATCAAAAGTGATATGTATTTACAGAAAAAACATGTGCGTGTGTGTCTTTGAGCATTGCGCACACCCACTACCTACACAGTCTAGGTGTGTGTGTGTGTGTGTGTGTGTGTGTATGAAGGTGCTTGGGGAGCTAATCATAGGGAGATTGAGCATGTCAGGCCTGATAAGAAACAGCCACAGCAAGAGCCTGTAGGCCTCCGATAATGTAAGATTTATCAGAGGCGAGGAGCGAGCGGCGTGCTCAGGAGAATTATGAACAGAGCGGAGCAGGTGAGGGGGCATGTCTCTCTCCAGAAGACTTATTTCATTTCCTTTGTTTTTCTTCTCTCTCACATTCCCTCCTTCCGTTATTCGTTCTCCCTCTGTGGCTGATGTGTAGTGTATCCCTCTTCACTCTCTCCCCGTTTCATCTTTTATTCTGTGTCTCTCTCATTCTATTTTTTAAGCTCTCCTGATTTAAAGGGAAGCCCGGGCCGTGAGGTGGAGCTGGGAGGAGATGGGGCAAAGGCTGGGGGGGCTGTAGAGGAGTTTTATTTATTGTGGGATAAGAGAGGTCTTACACAGACTGAATGGGAGACTCTTCCTCTATTCTGTCTCTCTAGAGTGTGTGCACACACACACACACACACACACAAAAGACTTCCACTGTCTGCACTTGAGACCGTGTAAGAGGACTGATCTTCAAATGCACTTTGTCCTTCTTCCTTCATTTTTCAAATAGCATTAGCGCAAAGACAACCCCTTTAACCCTTTAACAGCCACACCCCTCGAGACACTATATTTTACAGGTAACTATAGGTTTCTACGGAAACCCAGAGGGGCAGAATATGAGTTTATGACTTAAGAACAGGTGAAAGAAAAGGTTTTACTGGGATAATCTTTCTAAAGTTCCTTAATTTTTGTTTCATGTGTGAAAAAGTTTCACCAGGATCATATTTCTAAGTTCCTTTTTTGTAATCTGTTAAAACAGGCGAGGAGAAAAGTTTTACCTGGTTCATTTTTTCCAAGTTACTTTTCTGTGAGAATAGGTGAAAAAAGTTTTGCCAGGTGAAAAAAATTTTTAGTTACTTTTTGTTTTCATCTGTGAAAACAGTAACTTGGTACACACTTAGCAATTATTAATAACACTGCAAATACTATTTATATTTATCACATGACCATTCACGCACAGCGGCCATGTGCTTGCTGGTGTAAACAGGAAGCAGATTGTCTACTCTGCATTTGTTTGCTTAGTTGCAGAAAATACTACCAACGAGGAACAGCTATGGCAAAAAGTAAGACCAGAGATTTCTAAACATTACAAAATGTAGAGTGTGACCAGTCAGGGAAGGATACATCATGACTGATAAGACTGGATCAGGAAGCGAACATGGGGTGTCCGCGTGATCGGTTCCGACAGTCTAAGTTTCAAAGTAAAGTGAGACCAAAAGTCTCCGTTTTAGAGGCTTAAAAAACTCACCTGGACACCAGGCATAAACGCAGCAAATTTACACAGTCCTATTACTAACTTTGCCTGAATGTCAGCCATATTTGATGATCGTACTTGCAAGCAACCAGATGTGTGTCTGGCTGTCCTTCCTGCTAAATAGCATCGAGCATATCCAGCAGTCCTGTTTCTCCTGGCTCATCAGCTTGGTGTGACCCTGGCATCTCTAGTTGTGTCCATTGTGTCTGAAGTGATTCCAGAAAGTTGTTAGAAAGAAAATAAAATCAGTCAACTTCTATTTCTTTTGAAATTGGTTATAATAGGTTGTTAGTATATGAAGTATGCTGGGCTATCTTATGATAAAACCAGTGGGTATGAAAGAAAACGTGGTCCTTTGGTCTTTGCCCTTCATGACCACCGCTTTGGTTGATAAAATTACATCCTGGGTTACTTTACCACTGGCATACTGTAAATGTCCAGTTTGTCCAGAGTCCATCAGGGAGTTCAGGCAGGAAGTTAAGTATACTTAAGTAATAAGTGGAGGGTTGTGGGAAACTGAGACATGAAGCCTCCACATATATTACATGTTTTCATAGTACTATCAGTCCAGTTCTGCATTGTTCTAGCGGCCCCACAGGTGGAGCAGTAGGTTCATTGTTTAGTCAAAACATTTTTAATGCCGAAACATTAAAAACATTCACCCAATGTGCAAATATTTAGCTTTTATGTGTTTTATATCATTGTAAACTGAATGTTGAACTATTGATCATTTTGTGGTTGATCTATTGTTATTTTCATGCCATATATTTTTTATTAGGCATGCTATATATAGTGATGGTCCAGAAAGTACTCAGATAGTCTGTCTATACAGTGTACTATATATACAATATACTAAAGTACTACTGTAGTAAACTGCTCTAGGTTTTTACTCCAGGAAAAGTCATGCTGCATTAGCTACTAGCAGTTCCTGTTCATGCTGTAGTCATGGAGACAGAAGACGATCACTGGATTACTATTAATACTGAAGAAATCATCTGTTCTATGATTTCTAAGCAGATTTTTAGGGATTTATCTTATTTGCCATTTCACCAGAAAGAGACCAGCAGCCTGTGAGTCACATTTGACTGAGACTAATCAGGAAATATTAGTGATAAATCAATGATGAAAAAATAAAACAGACTATTTGCAGTCCTCAAAACCACCTCCTTCCTCCCTCCATGTAAACTCCCACCACCTCTCCTCAGGTCTCCCTCTATAACACATAGTCTAACACATAGTGTGCCTGCGCAGCCACTTATCTTTGCCCTCCAGACCTATGTTGGCTTCCCTCTACTTTTAGAGGAGAATAAACAAACAAGACAGGAAGAGAGGAATATAAATAAAGCGGTCGGTGGCATCAGACAAAGAGGAATGGAGGGGTGGAACGAGAAAAGAGAGCGGTGTTGAGGGAGGGGATTAGTTCCAAGCCAGTGCTGGTGAAAAGACCGGAAATAAGCCTCGGGAGACAGACGGAGAGAGATACAGGGGGAGATGGAAGATAGGAGACACGTCGCCTAGGATAGGAGGAGAGAAGGAGGTGAAGAAGAGGGCGGTGTAGACGGAGGAGAAGGTACGGGACATCATCAGAGAAATGTTCCGCCCTTTGTTTTTTAGCGTCCTCTTTCTTCTAAATATTTTTTCTTTACAAACCTATATTTCCCTTCTCCCCTGCGTCTTCTGTCTTCTGTCTCCGTCTCCACACCCCAAAAGGATGATCTTCTCATTTTTCTCCTTGTTCATAATATTATTTCTCCCTCCCTTCAGCCATCTACTACTCTTATCACTCCGTCCATTTCTTTTCTTATCTTTCTCCCTCTTTTTTTCCCCTCTCTGGCTGACGTTACTTTTATTGCAATCCTTCCCCATCAACCGGAAGATAAAACACTTTTCCTCATAAATTGAAATGGGTAAAACAAATCATTGCAATCACACACTCTCACCTTTACAGCGTACATTTATAGGGAAACATCGATTGCATTTTCATCCCATAGGTCTGTCCTTAGCGTGAGTGAGAGGGGGAAATGATTATAGATCTCTCCTCCAGACCTCAGTTAAAATCGACGACCCAGTGCCTTATGTGTCTCATGCATACTCATTTTAGCACTCCCTATCCATTATCAGAGCTATTCAATCAAAGCCAACATGCACAAGGTTTATGTCTAGTGGTTGGAGTTGGGGAAGGGGGAAACAATTAACAGTATTTCCCAGCTGATTAACTTCACCTTTGATTTGTACTGGTTCAAAGAATCCATATAGTTTTATGTTTGGGGAATAAGTCAAAATGTCACTCTGCGTCTGAATCTACGGCCTCATATACAAAAAAACGTCCCCAGAGCGCCACAGCTGTCCTAACTTGCTAGGAGTTCCAAGCAGATGGTAAATACAGGGTGATGTACACCCAGTTGGCACTTTATTAGGTACACTTAGCTAGAGCTAACACAGTCTAATACAACAGTCCGGTAATAAATCCTCCCTTCGTTAAGGTTATAATGTTCAGTTTTTACTGAGATCGTTTCAGAGAGGTCTTGATACCATTGTGTGGTCACTTGTCATGAGGATGTAGTTTATGTACTGTGTCATACAGAGAGGCGTTTCTGTAATTTAGGGAAGTTTCAGCAGCACAAATGGTGGATTGCTGCCTTCGGGTTGGGATGGAGTTTTTGCTCCAAGTGAAGGAGTTCAAGTACCTTGGGGGGGGGGGTAGTTCATGAGTGGGGTAGGATGGAGTGGGAGATTGGTTCAGCATCTGCAATAAAGTGGGTGTTGTACCGGAGTGTTGTGGTGAAGAAGCAAGGCAAAGCTCTCGATTTTACCAGTTGATCTTTGTTCCAGCCCTCACCTACGGTCATGAGCTTTGGATAGTGACTGAAAGAATGAGATCATGGGTACAAGCAGGTGAGACGAGTTTCCTCCGCAGGGTGGCTGGGTTCAGCCTTACAGATAGGATAAGCAGCTCTGACATCTGGGGGAAGCTCGGAGTAGAGCCGCTGCTCCTTCGCATCGAAAGGAGCCAGATGAGGTGTTGGTTCGGAAATCTGGTTAGGAAGCCTCCTGGGTTCCCTCCATTGGAGGTCTTACTGGCACGTCCGACTGGTAGGACTCCTTGGGATGGACCCAGAACATGCTGGAGAGATTATATATCTTATCTGGCCTGGGACACCTCAGGATCCCTCAGGAGGAGCTGGAAAATGTTGCTAGGGAGAGGGACATATGGAACATCTGGACTAATTTGCTTGACCTGCTGCCACCCGTCCCGAATCAACACCTCTCTAAAACAGTGTCAACACAGACTGAACATTATAACCTTCATGAAGGTGGGACTGTTGGATTGGACTGCATGAGTTTTAGTTAAGTGTCCACAGGAAATGAGGGAAATAAAATCTAGATCTCTAATTTTAAAAAACGAGTTTGTTCAAATAAATACTGATAGCATTAACCTACATTTGTCACTCCACTCAGAACCGAATGCTATTACCACATTATTATAGATGCATAAGCCTTGAAACAAGGGTGGAACTTTTTTTTAATAATTTTTGTTATTTCAGCAGATGTTAATTATCTGTAGTCCATATTCCTTTATGAAAATATGTTTTATTAAAGCACCACACAGCAGGTTGTATTCTGAATGGTTTCTGGGGCTCTGTGCACAATATAATAATGCTACAATGTGTAGTCTGTTATTTGTTGTGTGTGTACCTGAGGGGTACTTAAAGGTATGTCAACAGGAGCCCACCATTCAAAATTTGCCCCTGGGTTCCCTAGCAAGTTGATCCAGCCCTACCTGGGCCCAGGGTGCAAACCACTGCTTAATTAAGAATGTTTTCAGGGCACATTCACAGAGTTTCTAACTCATCTGAGACAGGAATGATTTTAATCCCGGTCAACCGCTATGCACAAGCTCCCTGGAGGGAAACTGTCATGCTTGATAAATGTAGGTCCTGATCTTTGCAGTATATCCATAGGTTGTGTTTAGCTACATTTGTCTGCACATTAAACACTGTTTCTGTCTGTTTTCTCCTTCATAGTTACGGCAGAGTCTATGCAACAGCAGACCCGTATCACCATACGATTGGTCCTGCAGCCACTTACAGTGTGGGCACTATGGTGAGTCTGTTTTCTGTTTCTTAGCCGCTGACTGTATGAGATGTCGTGTTGTCACACTGTTGTCTTTGTTAACATACTGTATGAGCTCCAGGACAGGGGGAAGGGTTACTGAACTGTTCATATAAATGAAACATTTAACAACATTTAATTAATAACACATTCAGTCATTTGCTGGCATGCCTTAGTAACAGCCTTGGAAGATCTTAAACAGAAGAGTCTATTCTTACTTGTTGTTCCTGTGAGTTGTGTTTCCCTCTGAGAGATCCATTTTAATGTTTAATGTGAATCTTTGCCACTTCAGTAAATGAAAAAGGGACATTGCCTTATTCTCATACTCCCTATTCAATTTCATTGGCCTGAAGCAACTTGCTTGAAATCCAATTGAGACTGAGAATTCCTCCCCACAGGAAACAGTCTCTTCAAATTTTGCAAGGGGAGTCGAATGGTTAATGTTTGTTTTTAGCTAGCTTTGCAGCTAACATCAAAGATGAAAAAAAAAACTCTCTAAAGAAAAGAAAGAGAGCACCCCAGAAGATGGGGAGCAAACAGAAAGTACAATTTGTTTTCTTTCGAGGGCGTGGGTAGGGACTTCCTCCAAAGATTAACGACCATCTAGTACATGCCTCAACGTGCCGTGGGAGATTAAAGCAGAAAGAGAAAAAAAAAAAAAAAAAAAGTCTCCAAAAGAAGGAAAAGTAGGAGATGGAGAAGGAGAATCAAAGTTTCTGGTAGCAAAGCTGTTGCTTGGTGCAGCATCTTGGACTCCAGACAGATGAGGGTTAATGCTGAGTGCTGACGTGTTTGTGGTGATGGAAATCGAAAGCCCTACCACCTCCCCGTGCGTCCCCCCAAACACCCCCTCCCCTTCCCTTCCCCTCCTAGTGCAGCTGCTAGCTAAAAGCCTTCATTAATTACGACCATTTTTTTCCTCTTCATTTACTTAATTAAAACAGTGGCCTGTGTTTTCTTCCTTATTACTCTACACTTTCTTCTCTTTTTTCTTCAAATTACTCCTCCCCTTTTCCTCATCCTCCCATGTGTGAGCCAAACCCCTTACTACAAATCTTTATTCTAGATACTCAACATTAAAAACAAACACAAAACAATTCATCTTAAACTTTATCATACCTCACGAACTGCAAACTTTTCAGAGCTAGGTAATAATGGTTTGATGAAGGTAGAATTATTGGTTGTGTAAGTGAGTTATTCAGCAATATTTTAAATGCTAGTGAATCCACTCATTTTCTACATCTGTCTACACCTGTGTTTTAGGTGTGGACAGGATGAGACATTCTGGACAAGGTTGACCAAAAATAGTCAGATATCTGGATGCAGACTTTGTGGGCAGGACTGGGTTATACCAACAGATTCATGTTAGAGGGTTTATCAGACACCAATGCTGCCAGTACTTCAAAGCAACCATCATCTTATCCTCCGTCAGTGTTTTTTCCACAAGAAAAAAGCTCATTTAGCTTAAAATGTGACTCTTGCTGGCAGTTTTGAATCATTGAATGATCATGAATCATTCTATTTCAGAGATATTGAAGCTTTAAGAAATGTATGATTTGAATATTAATGCTTGAGGTGTCTCATCATATGCCAAAAAAAAGCCATGATGGTTGTCTTTTGCTCGTCCTATTGTCCTGCCCCGTTTTGCACTAATTGAGATTTTTACATGTGTCAGCGAGTGTCAGGGAATTTATTCACTACTTTGTTTCCTGAGTATCAAAAAGAAAACCTATGAAACTTATACATCTATGCTCATGTACATACAGCAATCAAAAACACACAGTCACATTATTTCCCTTCACTAATGTCCTAACTGCCTTGTGCACAAAATCCCTCTCAATTAAACAAAAGCCAAGAGGAAAAAGGGAGGAAAGTTTCTTTGGAGGAAAGAGAGAAGTTCATTTTAATATTCATATTACAAACAAAGGTTCTACACTGAATACTGATTGGAGCTTTTTCATCTTTGATGTTGCAGGCTAGCCTTTACAGAGGAGGGTGCAGTCGCTTCACTCCCTACTAGAAAAGAGAGAGACACGTCCCCTTTCCTTCCCCGCAAAACAGACAAAAAAAAAAAACAAAAACAAAACAACAACAAAAGAAATCACTAAATAACCATCATTACCCTCTTTATGGAAAACTAAAAACAAAATGCTTCCAGATGGCAAATGTGACCCTGAAATGCAAGAATCATTCTCAAGTTGCTTCCCTTTCTACAGAGTGTACACATTGTCATTTATTAATGTAATGTACTTATTTTGGAAAAGAACATTTTTGTTACTCTGTTTTGACTCGAATGTATTTGCAATGAAATGTCTGTGGTGGAAAAAAAGACAAAGTGGGGAAAGAGTTGATGAAGAGAACTTTTAGTCTTCTTCTTCTCACTCTTTCTCCCTTTTATTGCTCTGCAGCTCAGCTCCTTTGGAGTGGCCTTTTGCGCTAGTTTTAATTCCATCTAATTTCCCTACCTTTATTGTTTCAATTAGTCATTTCCCCCATATACATTAAGAGCACTAATGTTCAGCAATTCCAGTTTGGGCAACAAATTTCAGATTGAATTTATTAAGTAAATGATACAGCCATTCCACCCCCTGACAGAACTGGCTCCATTGTAAGTGAGCCAATAACTGGAGCTGAGTTTCAGACTGTCTTAATGGGACTCAGAGCTGTTGAGCCCAAAGGAGGTGAAACTGTAAAAAAAAAAAAAAAAAATGGCTCCCAGGAAGTGATGCATTAAGAAACTCAGAAAGTGAGAGGAAGAGCGTGATATATTACTGAATCTGAATGCAGGAGGAAGTGATGTATAGCAGGGTGTGGAGCAAGAGCTATGGCAGCCATTGCAAAATGGGCAGCAGTGTGTTAGAGCCCATTGATCGCTGGCATAGTGCCAGAGGCATGAGGTATCCCATTACTGCTGAATGGCTTTAAAGGAGAACACTACATGATTTCCACACACAGGGCTTCTCACTGTTTCATGTCTTCACATCCTGCACACACAAAGCAATAATCCCACGTTTGCTGTATATGTATATGTAGGAATACTGACAAATATTTTTGACTTATTAGTGAACAGATGTGAGGGTGTCATCTTGAATTTACCTTTCTTTTAATTTTTTCTTTTAATACTGTTTTGTTAAAGCTGCATTAATTACATTTTGGCCACTAGGGGGCAGAAAAATATCAAAACATCCTGAAGGATACAGCCACCACTTATCACAGGCTTACATTGTTAGGGCTAACATGTTAGTGTTGGTGTCCACCGGATGAATGTCAATCAAATATTCACTCTCCTTTTACTGTAATCTAATGATAACACTGAATTTCATTTCATTTCACTGTCGTCAGTCTGACGTCCTGCTAATAAGAGACCTAACCAATCAGTAGTGAACGACATATCTGTCCCATAGATGGGATTTGGATGCTGGATGCAGATGTTTTCAGATAAGATACAAAATACCAGCTGTGTCCAAATTAAGAGGCCACATCCTTCGAAGGCTGCATTTGACAACTGATTGCATCACAGCGGCGTTACTATGCTGTCCCATTTTGAAAGCTCCATCAAATGCGGCTGGGAAATGGCGTCCTTCTTTTCCCAGGCCATGAAAGATTCAGAGGGTGGATCCTTCGCAGCCAAACATATCCCAAGACTACACTTTTAAATGTAAGTACTGTGTTTCAATTCAATTAAATATTTAAAACTACAAATGTTAAAAACCAAGGATAATTAAAACCTCAAATTTTCATTTGAATAATATGGCTAAGGGAAGTGTTAAGTTACGTGATGTTAGCTAGCTAGCTACTTGGAGCCACTGTGCTTGCTGTAGCTCAGCTGCTCACATCCAATCTATGTCACAGCGTTTGAAAGTCTTTAAAGCATTCACTTTCAAATTTAAGAGATTCAAAGGCTGACTTCTAACTTACCACAATGGCAATTTTATAGATAATGTATACTTCATGTGATGTATATAAATGGACCAAGGTGAACAGATTTAGACAGGATGTGGACCCAGACAGTTTAACATCACTTTCAAAGTCCAGTACAGACGTTGGTATTGATAAGATCTTGGTTAATTTGCTACTTAAGCTGCTTTTGTTTGTTGGTGTGAAGCAAAACTTACTCTGACATTTCATTGTGTTTTAGGAAGCACGGAGCAGACAGAATGATGACCTGTTCACTGGAGCTAAATATTCAGCCACTGTAGCTTGGAGGTGAAGCAACAATAGGCCATTTGTAATATCCTTATTTGGCTATCTTGTATATTAGAACTCATTCTATACAAACACCATAAAAATAAGACAACCCACTAGAGGGGGCAGTAACCTTTTTCTTTGTTGTGTTATTTCTAGTGCTTTCAGGCGCGGGGGGGGGGGGGGGGGGGGTGTATGTACATGTGATTTTAAACTGAAATTGCATTTGTTTTAATCATGCAAGTTAATAAACACACTTGTTTGAAGTTTGAAGTTTGAAGTTTGTTTTGCTGCTGTTGTTGTGGACTACATGCTATAATTGATTTTCTCTGCCTCAGGATGGCAAGTGTTCAGGGTCAGGAGAGGGAGTGAGGGGGAAACCCACTGCTGCAACTTGGCCATGGTTTGTCCTCGTGGATGAGGTGTTGGGACAGAGGCATTCCACCCACCCACCCCCACCATCCTAATTACCTACATCCCTGAGGACACACCAGGGCCAAGTGCAGCAGTGGATGACCAGGAGGAGGAGGAGGAGGAAAGCCAGCCAGCAGCAGAGGAAAGAAAGAGAGAGAGGGAATGAGCCTCCTCGGGTGATAAAAAGAAGACATGAGGTCATAGAGAGAGGCAGAGGAGAGGGTCATCAAATAAAGTATGTGTTAAATACATTGTTTATTTCATTTGCAGCGATCTTTACAACTATGTAAAACAACAAAAACATAAGAACTTTAATGTCTGCAGGTCCTTAAATAGTCATGAATTAAAAATCTATATCATAAGTTGGTGTTAATGTGTACTTTTGTTCAGCTGAGAAGGGAGTCCCTGCTGGTGCTGCTGGACCTGGATGGGCAGCCACAATAAAGACTCTGCTATATATTCTGCCATCTTGGGTGGTCTCCAGTGTGTGTGGAGATACCACCAGGTCTTCTCCAGGGTCTTTGGGAGGTGGACAATGAAAAAAGGTATTCCAAACACTCTGGAGACCACCCTGTATGATGTCCCACTTACCAGCAAGAGAAACACCAGGGTCTCAATCATGGCAACCAGCACAGGAACAGGTTTATTCTGCAGTTCAGGGATATATTTATCTATCTACCTACATAGCCATAGCACAAAACAATTTTTTCATATAAAGTGAGATATGGTGTATTTTCAGTAGTGCATTCAGATCCTTTACTGATATCATACTGTGAAAACACTCTAAAAGGCTTAATTCTAAATCTTGCTCAAGTAAAACTATGTATGATTTATCAGCAAAGTATGAAAAGTACTCAGTAAAATGGTCCCTGTCAATGTTTGTTCAGTGTTTAAGGTTGAGCTCATTTGATCTACTTTATATCCTGTTTGCTGGTTTAATCTACAGCAAAGCATCATATTCTATAAGATCATCATATGTTGATCATCATATGCTCATGAAGAGTCGGCTCTTGGTAAGCTCAGAAAAACAGCCTGATCTCAGCTCTGTGACAGTGAATTTTCCATCTGATCCAAGGGGGTTTTAAATAGTTAATTAGCTTAAGAAGTAGGAGAATTTTCTCAACACTTATTCCCTGAGTTTTTCACAAACATTCAAAATCAACACATTTTTAGATACATGGTTTTCACTGGACAGGAAGAGTATGAAAAATAGTAATCTGAAAAGTAGATTGTTATTAAAGCTGTCAGACAAATGTGGTGGAGTTTAAGTATAAGTTATATTGAATGGAAATACTCACGTAAAATGCAAATACCTTGAATTTGTACTTGTACTTTTAAATATAAAATCATATTGTCAAAGTGGAATGACATTAGCTATACATTAAAGGAGCTATTTGTAAGTTTTTGCTATTGCTACATAGCCAAAATTAACAGCTGTTTACTTATCAGACTAGTCGAGAGCTTCATCCATTGTTGTGTTTTCAATACAAGACGTTATACTACACAGCGCTACTTCTTCAGGGCAGACTGGATGCTACAGGGACTCTGTATCACAAAGTGTCAAGATGGGCCAGCAAGGCTAGGGCTAGCTGGTTAGCATGCTAACATCAGTGGAAGAAAATAAGTGAGTAATAGAAGCAAAACAAGAGGATTGCATTTCACCTCTGGAGACAGATGTTGACAAGTGAATGAATGTCGTTAAATGCTGAACTCACTCAGAGTTTCTTCTAGACTGACCAGTAAACAACTGTTAATGCTCATGTTAGCTATGTAGCAATAGCAAAACTCACAAATAACAAATGTTAACTGGCTAATGTTAGCATTTTTGTTGGCTAAAAGTGCACAGCTTAACCCATTTGTTTTACCTGACCACGGTCCTCTCTCTATGTGAGATATTTTATGCGCTGGCGGTGAGGCATCCCCAACTCCTCAAATAAATTATTTGAATTAACAAATCAATAAATTTCTGGCTCCGTCTTTTAGCTGTTGGCATGCTAGGTGACAGGACCAGTGCTTCGTGACACATTGGTAAGCACTGTTGATGCCAACGGGAAATCCTTTGTAGACCAGATATCTCATTTTCGGTTCAGCCGTCATATTATACTAAAGCTACGAAAATCATACATTCGTAGATCACGTCCTTGGGCAGATGCGCCTCCTGAATTAAAGGTGCACTATGCATTCCCACATGGTTTCAGCGCGATTTTATTTTTGTCTCAAATCATAGGCATCTCCCCTTGATCCGCCAGCTGCCTGCCCCCTGAATACACTGCCCCCCTCTGGAGAATACACAGGTGACACAAACGGCAAACAAACACTAGGGGCACAGGCTGTGCCCCAAAACATAACAAACCACGTTCCAACCAATCACCGACAAGATAGTTGGAGGAGGGGGTGGGGGTTAGTGCGCGTGCACATATG